TTCTAGACATTTCTTAGGTAAGATATTGGTGGTGAACTATTTTGGGAGGTGGTTTCAAAACCTCTTTACTTCAACCTTGTTCATGAAAGATAATTTTACTGGTTATACAGTTATTTTCTTCTTAAAAATAATTTTACTTTCTTCTTGAAAGTAAATTTTTATGAGTATAAATTATTTTCTTTAGGGAATTTACAGATAATATTCCATTCTCCTCTTGCCTTACTGTTGTTCTTGAGAAGTCCCTTTGGTGTAAGTAATAGTAAAAAGAAGGATAAAAAATAATAGCTAACGCTCACAGTGATACAATATGCCAAGGACCATTTTCAGCTCTATTTGCATACACTGTTGTTTAGTCCTCGTGTCCGTACTATGAGGCAGCTCCTGCCATTTGATAGATGAAGAAACTGAAGCAAACAGCTTATTAGTGATAGAGCCAGATTAGAACCCCGGGCAGTTTGGCTCCAGATCTACACTCCTAACCATGACACGGAGTAGCCATTCAGATCTATTTTTCCTCTCTACTTTAAAAAAATTATTTACAAATTAACTTTTAGAGAGAGGGGAAAAGAGAGAGAAAGAGAGGGAGAGGAACATCGATGTGTGGTTGCCTCTCATGTACCGCCCACCAGACCTGGCCCCCAACCCAGGCATGTGCCCTGACTGGGAATTGAACTGGCGGCCCTTTCTTTTGCAGGCCAGCACTCAATCCACTGAGCCACACCAGCCAGGGCTCTATCTGCTTTTAAGATCTTCTTTTTGCCTTTGGTTTTCTGCAGGTTCACTAAACTATGTCTAAAAGTATAACTTGTTATTTATACTGGTTAGCATTTACATAACCTCTATATTTTATATGAACTGTTATTGCACTATTCTGGAAGGTTCTCAGATGTTATGAGTTCAGATACTGCCTCTCCTCCACCTTCTGAAACACCCAGGAGATGTATGGCGGAACTTCTTGCTCAATGTCTCATAGTTTTCATATGTTTAATCTCTAAGATACGTAATGGTAGTCTTTTCAGTTGAAGTTTCTGTTTATAATTATCCCTTCTTTTTTCTCTAGTGTTTATTCCATTGTGTATCTAATTATTATATGTTTAGTTTCTAGATATTTTATTTGGTTCTTTGTAAAAATCAGCTTGGTACTTTTTATAGTATCCTGTGTTTTGGATCCTATTTATTTTTAGGAGTCTCTTATTTATTTAAATGTATTTCATGCAATTGTTTTACATGTTTATTCAGTAATTTTAGTATCTGTGGCATTTATTGTTTCTGCTACCTTTTTAATGGTGGCTTACCCAGAAGCTATTCACTTATTACAAACCCATCCAGTAGGGTTAAATAGTGTGTGTGCCCATGAGTGTGTGCATACGCATGTGTGTCAGCACTGTTGTGAGTGCGCATACGTGTGTGTGTGTGTCAGCACTGTTGGCAACATTTTAGGGATTCTAGATTAGGATCCATTTCTTCTTAGCACTCAGTTTCCTTACCAATGTTTGACTGCACAGTCATGCATAATTTTTAATTGCAAGTAAAGCTTTCATTCAGCAAACACTTAAGAACTCAGGTTACAAAAATGGCTAACCCACTTCCTTTCCTTTAAGATGCTCACAGGGCACTGTAAGAGAACATTTTCACAATTACACTGCAGTGCGCATAGAGCTGCAACAGGGAAGTGTATCTAGTACTGCAAGAATGGAGTTAAGTGAACAAAAAACTAGCGTGGAATAAGGAGGGGATACACAAGTCGTCCCAGAGTTCGGAAGGCCAAGTGAGTCGAAATGGGGATAAGGAGAGAAATCTGGACACACGGTATGAAGGAATGCAGCACACAGCACATTCTGGAAATGCGGGTAGTTCCGTGTGGTCTGGAAAGAAAGGAAAATGGAAGGCATTCCAGCAGAGGGCAGCTCTTGTGGAAAGAAGTAGAAACAGAAAAGCTTAAATTAGGTTGAAGAAATGGTGAGAAAAATCAGTTCATCTCAAGAAGATGGGTTGGGGAGGGAAGTACAGATAAAGGAATTTAGAAAGATAGGTGGAAGATACTTGTATCTCCTGATTATTGCAAAAAACAATGTGCGAAATCTCCTGGGCCACAGATTTATTGTTTAGACCAATGTTCAAGTGCGTGCAAATTCAGCTTGGGTGGCCGCAGATCCTAATTCAGCAGGGCTGGGCGGGCCTCCGATTCCATGTCTCTCATAATGATGCTGTGAGGCCACTGCTGCTAATCCGCAGACCACACTTTGAACAGCAAGGGTTTAGAATATGCCATGGTTTGTTCCTAGTCATTTATATGATTTTAAAGGTGGGCTACGGTGCTGTCCTTCCAAACTCACACCACATTACTAAAATTTTCAAAGAGCCTATTTTTCCAGCTTCATATAAGGTGTTCTATACATATTTTATTGCATTTAAACTGTAGAATTTGAATAGAAAAAGAAGTCCCATGTCTTTCTCTTCTTTTAGGATGTTGTGCTTCTGGATCTCATTTCCTCTTTTACCAACTGCACTATCTCTTCCAAAAGATCGTCTGATAACTTAAAACTCTGATTTTACAAACATTTTATGCCTACAAAATATAGTCCCTTTAAAACAGAAGTCTTCAAACGAAGTAAACTATAAGTCACTTGGACTCTGTAACTAGATTTCAGGGAACTTTTTATCTCCCCCAATACCTAGCATAGGAACGTGTAGCCAGCAACTGCTCACTCCTATCTGTATGTTGAATAACCCGCATACATCCTAAGTTGTTTCAAAAGAATTTCATGACTGTATGGAAATAAACTGTACACATAATCTGTTTTCCTCATGTGCATGTAAATTTTGCATTTCAAAATACTGGGCTTCCTTCACTTCCAATGGCAGTTTCGCACACAGTCTATAAATCTTGCTGTTAAGACATTTTCCTTCATTATCCTAAATTTATCTTAATTTCAATCCAATTAAAAACTGTTTACTAGAGTTTTCCCCCATATAATTGAGCACAGTATAGTTGATTTTTTAACTGTAAACATACATCTGTAAATGATTCCTAAATGTCGCTGTATAGAGGGGATCCTGCAGCATAATGGAAGTAATTTCTTTCCAAATTGCTCCCATTGCTCTTATGACTTGCTTGCAAAGCTTTATTAAAATCAAGTCCAGCAGGTATGACAGAGGCTGACCTTGTTCCCTAAGCATAACGCATGCTGCCCTCTCAAAAGCTCCTAAGGCCTTGAGTAGCCCATAAATTCATACACCCCCAAGTCCACGTCTCTAGTTACTCTGAAGCAAAGAGTAGTGGCAATAACGCACCATAATATTTAAAAGTATGGAATCCAAGGTAAGGTCCCTGGGCTTGTGTTTCATCTTGACCACTCTCCAGGGGTGTGACTTGAAGCAAATTATGGAACCTTTCTCAGTCTCAGTTACCTTGTCCATGAAGTAGAATAATAACGGTGTCTGCAGCTCAGGGTTATTGTGAGGATCAAATGAGTCGATGTGGGTAAATAACATGATAAATGCCTATGACTGGTTATTATTATTACAATCAGCATTATGGTCATCTTTAATTCCAACTAACCCTGATAGCAGCCAATTTCCAGGCAAGAGATGGAGTTGCCACACAGATAGCAAAGATCAAACACTAACACCTGCTAGGTGGTTATAAGAATCTACATCCAAGATTGCTCTATTCAGCAAAGCTTTCATTTAGAATGGAAGGACAGATAAAGTATTTCTCAGATAAGATCAAATTCAAGGAATTCATCATCACCAAGCCCTTATTATATGAAATGTTAAAGGGACTTACCTAAGAAAAAGAAGATAAAAAAGATGAACAGTGAAAGGATAGCAAACTCACACTTATTAAGAACCACACCTTAAACAAAAGCAAACTAAGAGGACAGCTTGATCAGGAGCAGAACCATAGTAATGAAGATCACGTGGAGGGTTAGCAACAGGGGAGTGGGAGGAGGAGAAGGAGGGAGAAGGTACAGAGAATAAGTAGCATAGATGGTAGGTAGAAAATAGACAGGGGTGAGGACAAGAATAGTAGGGGAAATATAGAATCTAAAGAACTTGAGGCACGTGGCCATAAACTAAAGGGGGGTATAGTGGGGGAGGGGTGTGCAGGGTGGAGGGGAATGAAGGGAAGAAATAGAACTATAGTGGCATAATCAATAAAATATATTTGAAAAAAAGAATCCACGCCATGGTCTGGTCATCCAGGTCTTCCTAGTGGTCAAGTGTCATTGATCAGCAGAGTCAAGTCCATGTTTCAACAGATAACCCTTTCATGCTTTCTAAACCAGCTACATGTGTTACTGTTTCTCAACAGATCTGCGTGTTCTATCACACAATTTGAGCAGTGCGTCAGTTTGACTGGGTCCACCAAATTGGTACTGAGCATCCGCTTTGTGCAAGGCATTGAGTCAAGATGTATGGAAGGATATGAAGATGAATATTTAATGGATATTAAATGCCTTTCTATGTGCCAGGCACAGAGCTAGGTGATGAAGATATAAAAGAAAGTAATGCATGTATACTTTCTGTCCTTGGGAAGCTTGTAGTTTAGACAGGAAAAAAAGAAAATAAATTATAAATACAATAAAGCTTACGTGATGTGCTAGGGGAGGACAAAAATGTTACATGAGAGAAGACAAAATGAGGGAGAGGTCAAGGATGGTGTCCAGATGGAAGTGGCATCTAAGTTGAGAACAAAAGCATGACTAGGAATTAGACACATGAAGAGATAGGGAAAGTACTAGGGAACAGTGCATGCAAAGGCTCAGAAGCAACGGAGTGTACAGTTCAAGAGTTAGAGGGAAGAGATTGATAGAACCTTGTGAGCCATATTAAGGGGTTTGTAGTTTATTTCATAGGTAATGGGAAGATGCTAAGGGTTATAAGCAGGGGAATGAGGTGATCAGATAAACAGGCATTTTAGAAAAAGCAGTCTGGCTGCAGAGTAAGGAATATGAGGTTTGTCCAGAATGTATCCAGCCATGTAATATGCAAAATGGAGACATTTATTGAAGAAGATAAGATATACAAGAAACATTGTACGTAGGACAATGATGCCTCAGTCCTCTTCAAAGTAAGCACCTGGGGACCTCACACAGTTCTCCCAGTTGCCATCAGCTGCCCCATCATATTCTCCCGAATCTCATCAATAGTCTGAAATCTCTTCTCTAAGATGATTTCGGCTTTGGGAGAAGCCAGAAGTCACAGATACCAAGTCAGGGCTATAGTGGGGCTGAGTCACCTGGGCGATTTGATGTTTCACCAAAAAAACTCAACATGAGAAGTGGTGTATGAGTGGACATGTTGTTGTGATGAAGCTTCCGGTCACCAGTTGCCCAGAGCTGCAGCCTTCTGAATCATCCAAAGAGTTTCCATGGAGGGATGTTCAAGCTTAACACAAAATTTGATGCAGATTCATTGTTGTGCTCAGTTATTTTGAATGTGATGGCCACACAGTACACATGCTCACTCAACAGCATCTACCACCCCCACTGACTAGTACAGTGAAGTTGTCATTGTTCACATGTGTGCATTCCAGTCTACTCTTTTTGGTGGCCAGGTTACATTGATATCACACCCAACTGATCTCATTATATTAACAATGGTCGGACTTTTTCCAGACAGAACTTGTATATGGATGAGGGGAGGGAGACAGGGGGCAGGACTTGAGCCAGGAAAACCTATTTGATTGTTGTGATGATAAAAGCAAGACCTGGAGGTGGCCTGGACTCAGTTAAGGCAGTGGAAATATGAAGAAGTAAATGGTCTCAGGAGCTATCGAGAAGAGAGGAACAGGAAGAGTTAACTATTAATGAGATACAGTGAGTGTGGAGGAAAGAATGAAAGATGACTTTGAGGACACAGAGTAGAGAGCACAGCCTCCTGTTCCCGGCGGTGGGGATTAAGAGGCAGGACAGAAGGGGATCACGGACATAATAAAAACACAAAGATCCAAGAGAAGCATGAGTGAATAATTCCTTAGGGATGAGGGGCTTGGAAACACCTTCCAGGTCAGGAGGTGCTGGAGTCAGGTTAAGATAAGCAGGGACTGTGAGTTTGGAAAAATTGAAAGGCTATTTCCGTTCTTTGGTGATGTCAATCCTGTAGTTTGGATCCTTCTCAGGGGCCCGAGTCCTGCGTCAGGCCCAGCCTTTTGGAAAAAAGCACTGACAGTCGAAAGTCCAGCGGTACCTCGGTCTGTTCATCAGGACCTGAAATGCCTGCCTGAAATCGGCTCCAGCTCCACGTAACATTTCTCAGGCTGTAGATATTCGAGGTCATGCGCAGGTCTCTGTCAGCTAGGGAATTGCTGCTCTGAAAGTATACTTAGCGAAAGCCTTGCCAGAGTTGTCAGAAACAAATCACTCTCCCTACCCTTTTAAATTTCTTAAAAAAAAAAAAAAACACGATAAAAGCCAAATTTTGATATAATGTTTCAAGGCTGTGCATACCAGATTTTGTCCTGGATTTCCATGTAACATCAGACCTCAAAGAAATAAGCGTCGCTCTCAGCCGGGAACCTGAACGCCGACCCTGCCTGCTCCAGCCCCGCTCACCCGAGCGCCGCCGTCAGGACTCACTGCAGCTCCGTGAGGGCGCGGAGTGGCGTCTCTGGGCCTCTGAACTGCCAGCCTCGCACATGTGGGACACATCTTTAACCACAAAGTGTTTTCTTGAAGGCCTTTCCCCCCATTGTGAAAACTTACATTTAATAAGGGCCAGAGAAGCCTATAAATCAAACACAATGAAATATTAAATTATGCACCTTACTCCAAGTGGGGTACATATATTTTATCATCAAAAAGTGTGGGTCTGGGCATTCTGGAAATTCTGATTTCTTGGGCAGTCTGGGGGTTGGGGAGCAAAGCCACATTAGTTTTCAATTTGCGGAACATGATGTTAGTGATTACATTAACTTAATCTAATATTATTTCCCATATTTAAGGACAGAATGAGAACCTTGTGTTTAGATTGTTGTTGGCTTTAAAAATATAAATGTGAATGTGTATGTGTGAGTGTGTGTGCGTACATAAAGAAACAAGGGCCCGGCTGGCTTTCTGTATAATAGGCTGAGTTATTAGTACAGCTGCACATTTTGTGTCCCAGGGGATTAGAAGCTCAGCCTGAAATCTCATTTAATTACAGAGCATGGACTACCATGGACCTCTTGCATCTGGACCCAGGAATAATAGAGAGCATTTTCTTTCAGTGGTTTGTCGTGTTCAGGATAGAAACACATGCAGTTCAATTTCTACCACTTGGTTAAGAACAGAAAGCAAAAGTTCACAGATGTTAGATCAGCCTATTAAATAATTTTTACCAAACTTCCTGGACTCTCTTTTCCTTTAAAAGCTTAAAAAATGTAATCCTCTTCTTTCGTAGATGTAGAGGTACAAGGGCGCAAAAATCACTCAGTTCATCTGTAAATGAACATAACGGCAGTATTACCTACCCCACAGGTTATCGCAGGAATGACACCAGGTAACGAAAGGAACAGGACGCCACAAAAGATCAAATGCTGTTCCATGTTGGTTAAACACGACTATTACTCCTCTATCCTTTATGCATTCAATGAAAACTTCCGAGAACCTGTTAGATGCAAAGCACTATTTTAGAGGAGGGAAATAGAGGGGAGAATAAAAAAGACATGATTTCAGTTCTAAGGCAGCTTACGTTCTGATGAGGGAAACAGACAATAAAGTCATTCCAGAAAGTAATACACGCTGCGAAAAATTCAAAGCAGGATAAAGTGATAGACAGTGGCTGCGGGGGTGGGGGGAAGTTCCTTTAAAAAAATCCCACTGAAAAAGTAACATTTGAACTGAAGGCTGAATGAATTAAATGATAAGAAGCCAGCCATTGGAAGAACATTTTGGAAAAAGAGAAAAGCAAGCACAGTGGTCCTGAGCTGGGCCTGTCTGGGGACAAGAGAGGACCAGTGAGGCAGGGGATTGGTACAAGGTGAGTCTTGAGAGAAAGGTGGTGGCCCAGCAAGTAGGACAAGCCCTGGAGGCCGTGCTAGAGTCTCGATGTTACCCCAGGAGCTATGGGAATGCACTGGAGGATTTTAAGCAGCTTAGAGATATGTTCCTGAATTGTATTTTAAAGAGGAAATCATTTTGGCTGTTGTGTGGCAAACGGATGAGAGGTGGGATGGAGAAGTGGCTAGAGTTGTAATAAAGATATCAATTAAGAGTCTATTACAGTAGTTGAGGTAACAGGGGAAAAAAAGCAGGCATTCCAATGGGGATGTCAAACAGGAATTTGCGTACATGACCTGGAGTTCAGGGGAGAGATTGGGTTAGAGTTGTGAATGTCAGGGTCATCAGCAAGTGGATGGGAGATGAAGCCTCGGGAGCTCAGTTGTCACATAGGGAGATGACAGAGGGAGAAAAAGATGGCCAGCACTGAGCTATGGAATGTCCCAGCATTTTGAGGAAAAACAGCAGAGGAAAATCCAGCAAAGAAATAATCGGCAAATGAGGCAGAGGCAAATTCAGAAAAGCATGGTGTTCTCATAGCCAAGAGAAGAAAACATGAGAAGGAAGAAATAGTCAGTGAGTCAAATGCCATTGAAATGAAGAGGGAGGTGATTACCTGAGTACCGAGAGAGCTCACTGGATCTAATGACCTTGATAAGGGGGCTGAAACACGATTTTGGTAGACTGTAAATAGACTTGAACCTGAGGAATGTAGAGAACAACTGTAGGCAACCGTTCTGCAAAGTTTCGTAGGAAAGATCAAAGAAATGAGACTTGGGTCCAAAGATATTTCTTTTAGTAACGAATCCTAGCTACTAGCTGTCATTTTTTGCCTACTCACTCTGTGCCAGGCACTATGTACTTTATCTCGCTGACATTTTAATCCTTAAAATCCTATCAGATAGATATTGTAATCTACTGTTTACACAGGAGTCAGCCAAGGCAAAGAGAGACAAGGTCCCAGACCTTGTACGTAGTACGTAGTACGTGGAGGAGCCAGCGCTGGAACTCAGATCTCTCTCACTTCAGAGCCCTGGGTTTTCCGTGACACTGTGGTGACTACCTGCCTACACACTCAGCCACGTTCGCCAGCTGAATGTGTGGAAAGCTCCAGGCTCCCGCTGTCAGTGAATGAAGTCTGAGCTGCGTGAAACATACCCGATCCCCACTCACCCTGGCTGATGATCTCACATCAGTGTAACTTCAGAGGCGGGACAGGCCCCGGGACAGTATAAACAGTGGCTCATCAAGGACCCTTTCCCTCCTTCTCCGCACTCTGCAGTCCTCATCCCTGGCTTCGTCTTTTAGGTTGGTTTCTCTCTTGCACGCTGGAGTCCTTCTGTAAAATGCCATATGCCTCATTGTTTAAATCCAGAACAGACAGACGGCCTCTCTCTCAAACACGAAATAGATAGCCACAGTCTGCTCGAGCCAACCGAGGCCACATCCACCCCGTCATCAGAGAATTGTCAAACACTGATTGGCTTAGACAAACCAGAGCCTGTCTCTGGAGCTGAGGGTCAAGGGATAAACTGTCAAAATCTAGTTTTACTCAGGACAGATAGGAGATAGACATTGGGTAGAGAACACCTAGGCTCTGCCTGCAGCCAAAATCCTGTGTAAGGAATCTATGAAAGACCAGTGTACATGAGCCTGCCCCACCAGGTCTTAGGGAACCCATCAACACAGGCTGCAGAGTTATTAGGGACTTTGTTTTGTTCATTTATAGTATTCCTGAATAAGAAATTCTCCTGTTTATTCCTGAGTTTGTTTCTATTTGCTATTTCAAATGGGGGTTACTTCCAGGGCAACTAATATTACTTTGGTACCCAAGAAAGAGGAATTGGTCCGCTATTTAAATGGGGTTTGTGTTTAGCCTAAAGCTTAAGATTGTGAATTTCTGAAGGGAATGGCTGTTTTCTATTACTTTGGTGTTCTGTGCTTACACTGGGGACTGAATAAGAATGGTTGGCTGACTCTCCCTTGCAAAACGTTGAGAAGATTTCAACTGCAACTATAAGGTAAAGTCACTAAATGTTGGGTCATCTTGACACTTACATGTGTCACTAATGGGATACATATGGACCTGGGCAAAATCAACAGAGTTTAAGTGAAAAGGAGAAAGTACTTCTATGACATTCCTGAACCAAAAAAAAATCTTTTTATATTCTCATTTTATGAAAGGAAAACAGAGTAGCAGTTGTACAATTTTTAAAAGTGTCACCTTGGCTGGTGTGTCTTAGTGGATTGAGTGCCTGACTGTGAAGCAAAGGGTCACCGGTTCAATTCCCAGTCAGGGCACATGCCTGGGTTTCGAGCCAGGTCCCCAGCAGGGAGTGCATAAAAGGCAGCCACACATTGATGCTTCTCTCCCTCTTTTTCTCCCTCCCTTCCCCTCTCTCTAAAAATAAATAAATAAATAAAACCTTTAAAAAGAAATTCTTTATAACTAACAAAATCAGTTACAGTATATGAAAAAAATCAAGTCTTAAAAAGGAGGCTATGACTGATACAACTCCAAGGCAGGCTGCATTAGGTACATGGAAGTCAACCAAGCCTGTGTCTCTCACTCCCGCCACCCTTGGGCAGCACCCTGCCTTACCTCCTCTCTGATCTGTGCTTTCTCTCTTCCTCCCCCATCTTTATTCCTCTTCTTCTTTCAAACCACTCCACTGCAAAACCCCATGAACCTTATTCCAGAGTAAACGAACTCACTTGATCCTCAGCGGCTACACAGAATACATCCTATCCTTCCTCATCTTACTAAAATTTGGTGCATCTCCCAAGGCCACTGCTTTTTTGACCTCCAACTAACTCTTCCAACTAATCCACTGCAACTACTCTTACCACTTAACGATGACTTTGCTACTATTCAGTAGATAGAGCTCTGTCCTTTGCTTACTTGATCTCTGTGAATGTCTTCCTCCTTCCTGAAACATTTTTCTCCACTGATTTCCATAACATTACATTCTCCTGGTTTTCCTACTACAATCCTCAATATCTTCCTCTGCCTACCCTGTAAGTATTGTTTTACCATAAGGCTTCATCCTTGGTTGTCTTTTCACTCTACATAGTTTTGCTGAGTAATTTCACCCATTCCTATAACCTCAACCACTATCATCATCAGTGGTCCTTAAACATTCTGTGTCATGGAACCCTTTGAGAATTCAGTGAAAATTCTGGACCTTGTCCCTAAAAAATATGCATAAGCATAAATATTTTTCAAACCACTTAGAAGGTTCATGGAAACCCTAAAGCTATTAATGGACCCTTCAAAAAGGATTCCTGATCTATAATGCCAACCTTTTTTCTCCATGCAGCTCTCTTAGACAAGACTGAAATATCAAAGTGCCTCCTTGAAATCTGTAGTTGGGCATTCCGTCAGCGCCACATGCTCGATATGCTTAAATCCTACAGTTTTCTTCCTCTCCTAAGTCTGACACCAACAGATTTAACATTTTTGTCCTCCACTAAGATTTCATGTTTCTTTACAGGTCTTTTGTAATTCTCTTTAAGTCTATCCCAATTTTAGAATTGTTTCTATTGGGAATAACATGTTCCCCATTCCTATTTCTAGGTGCTTACTACGAGCCCAGAATAAAGGCTATTTTTATATTTATCAAATATTTAGGTACCTTATTAAATTTTACTAGCCTTTTTATGATAGTCTCTTGGATTTTATAGATATAAATATGAAGAATTGTCAGAAAGCTAGTTTATTTTCCTTTTCTAATATTTGTGCTTATTATTTAACGTTCTTCTCTTGTGGCATTTTTAAATCTTACTACTGAAAGTGTAGAATCAACAGCATTGCCACCATGTAGGAGCTTATTAAAGATAAAGAATCTCAGCCCCATCCCCCAATCTACTTAAAAAGATCCCAGGTGACCCATGTAAAGTTTGAACAACAGTATTATAGAATATGCAAGACACTATTTAATAATAATGATGATGGTAGGTAGCATTATCCGGTTCCTGATTCTAATTGAAATGGGCTGTGTATTTCACAAAAAATAATATTCTTTTCTTGCTATCTTAGGATATTTTATTTAGAATTTACTGCTTAATGTCAATTCTAAATTTATATATGAGAAATTCCTTTATATATATGATAATATAGTCTTTCTACTTTAATTTGATTAACTTAGTGAATTAATTACATTAATGATTTAATTTATTATACCAACAAAATAAATGTACATTTTTATATGCTACTGGATTTTATTTCCTAATATTTTATTCTATTTTTTCAATATCCATAAGCAATTGATCTCTAGTTTGTTTTTTTTTTTTTTTGGTTTGGAGTATTAAGTTACAGGTGGTTTAATAAAGTAATTTAGGGATTATCTTTATCACCTTTGTAGAATGGAATGGGCAAACCTAGTTTGCAAAGGAGAATTACCTGGTGGAGGGGGGCAATTAGGGAAATATTAATGTGTAGACCTGGCTCCTGGAGATTCTGATTCAAGTACTCCGGGATTCACCAATAAACAGGTATTTCTGGTTTTTAATTAAATTAATTTTTTATAAAAGCTCCACAAGTAATTCTAATAAATTTCTAGGACTGAGAGATACTGGTCTAGAATCCTTTAAATAACTTCACAAGATTAAGTACAATTTAATCATTATCTTGTCAATGGGCACTAGTCACCTTCTCAATTTCTTCTCTGGTAATTGTTCCATTAAAGTTTCCCATTTCTTTTTGAATGAATTTTAATAAACTTACATCTTGCTCTTTATGAGGTTAAGAACATTTTCTTCTATTCCCATTTTGCTGAGAGTTTTCATCATGAATGTATGTTCGATTTGTCAAATGCTTTTCTGCGTCTACTGAGATGATGATGCAGTTTTTCTTCTTTCATCTGTTAATATGGTGAATTACATTGATTGATCGTGAAGTGTTGAATCAGCCTCTCATTCCTAAGATAAATCTCACTTGATTGTGATATAGAGCCTTTTTTATATATTGCTGGGTTCTATTTGTTAACATTTGTTTGAGAGGAAAAAAAACAGGAAATACCCTTACTGGTCATTCTTCATGTTCTTCCCCATCGGTCTGCTATTTCTCAGATTCTTCAGAGAGTTGCTTTTTTGCCTTTTGTAGTCCATCCAGGTGTCCATTTGGAATCAGTGGAAGAGAGAGGCTGTGGTAGTCTTACAACATCTTGACTGGCATGAGAAGTCTATCACTTTTTTAATGCATTTTTTGTAAACAGCACATCCAATCTATTAGTCTGCATTTAAATAAAGAATTCAGTCCAGTTACATAAAGCTCATATCCTAGATTTTATTTATTTTGTTCTACTTTATGTATATTTGTTGTACTCTTTGGTCTTCGTTTTATGTCTATTTGATGATTCCCCTGTAATTTTCCAACTCAGAAATACTCACTTTCTTTTCCTTAGAGTCACAATCAAGCAGCTTTTACTCAACTATTACATAAAAAATAACAACCATTTTCTCTCTAACAAAGCATTGTACTTTCATTTCCTTACTCTTTCCTCTAAAGAAAAATTCTTTTTAGAACACATTTTCTTTTGACACTTTTTCCCATCCCAGATAAGTCTTTTCCCATGTTATTTATCTTTCTTCCCTCTTGTTATATGCCTGGGTTATACAGAGATTTAGTACTTTGTTTAGTTCCAGACTAGCATTATTCCAGGATTATTGTCTTAGCCCTTGAACTACCTAGGATGATCTCATATTTAGATCAATGGGAAGATGTTTCCTACTCTTTTGCTCCACTCAATGTCTCTTTCTTTATCTTTCCTTATCTTAAAATCTCTGTTCTGATTAATTTCATTTTGGCTATACTGTAGTCTCTTCTCAAGTATTTTCCGAAGATTTGAAAGATGACATTTTCAGTAATTCTTTGTATATATGCAAACACCTTTTTACACCCCAGTAGATGAATCTCAGAAACTTAACGAACAAAAGAAGGCAGACACAGATGAGTACATGCTGGATAATGTCATCTACAGGAGTTTGAGAACAAACAAAGCTGATGTATGTGATAGCCATTAGAATAGTCGTTACTTTTGGGAGAAGGTGCAGATGACTGCTGGGGTACTGGAAATGTCTGCTCCTTATTCTATGTGGTGGATACATGTGTTTATATATATATGTGCAAAAATCTTAAGCATACTAATATACCTCAGTAAAATGAAAAGGTTTAAAGAGAATGACAATATGAATAAATTAATAACTGTGGAAAAAAGTTGAAAAAGAAGACCAGGAATAAGGCTTTTCCCCATGAAAAGCCCCAGGCTAAAAACTGTTAAAAGCATTTTCTAGCAAAACTCTCAAGAAATGTGTATCATGCCATTTAAAACGTAATGATTATTTTTTAAATAGAGAAATGCAAAGTTCCCTAGTCATTCTGCCATATGAGATGACCTCATATTTTTGCCCTCAAATTGGGAAAATAAAACAGCATCAAGTACCCACATTCTAAAGAAAGCAGGAGGTCCCTGGACTTGTTTGGAAGGGCTGAACTAGGTCTCCTAAACTAACCCTATCTCCTTCCACTTTGTGGTACTAGGACAAGGGAAAAACTGAAAAGGCAGCTAAGCCTCCTCGCTTCCTGCCCTGCACCCCAGGGCCCTTCAGCTACAGGTTAAGCTTGATCCAGACAGAAGGAAACAGATTAAAAAAATTAAGAATGTACATAGTTGGAATCTATCCTGTGAGCTCCAATTATTAGAATCTACAACACCCAATTATAATTGCCATCAAAGACTGGTCACTGTTCAAATAAGTAAAGAATCCATGAAAAACACCTTTTAAATAGTTTTTTTTTTAAAGAAAACTATTCCAAAGCTAAAAATCAATGGGAAAGCATGCCATAGCCAAGTGCATGCTACTCCTTACAGATGATAAACATAAATTTTCAAAAAAAAATCAGTGAGGACAAAATCCATTGATGTCCATTCAGGTTCCTCCTATTACAGAAAGAGCACCTTCCATAATACACTTACATTTCTTCACTAAGGGCCCCCTTTCACGCTTTCTCTTGGACCTCTGTGAAAATAAAATTTGTGAACAATCATTGCATTTGCTGGAGCTGAGGGTCTCTTTGCATTTCCATTCATCCCTTCACTTCAGAAGTTCTGCACTCAGGCATACAGGAGAGGAGAAGCTAACACAGCAGCAGGCCGGGGTGTGAAATCAGCAGTTAGAGTACCAGGACATGTAGAAACAGACCTTCCTGTAAGGTTGAATGGGACTGACAAAGTAATAGATTGTTCTGCTGTGTGTGAGTCCTGGGAATGCAGCTACTGGGACTCAGAGCCTGGGGACCCAAGCAAGAGTCAAGTAAGGTGCTATAGGTAAATTAACCTAATATATAAACATGTGTGTGTTAGGAGGCCAGCTTAACCATTAACACACACACCAGTTTGATATATCCAGCCTCTGTGGCAAATTACTAGCACTGTCTAGCAGTCCTTTTGGAAATTCCACCATATTCCCATGGACAGAACAGGTCCCCAGGGACATGGAGGTATGTATGCCATTAAAAACAATCAACTGCATTGTTAAATTATACAAATGTTTCTATGCAATTATCAACACAAAATATAATTTTCTATGTGATATCTCAAAAATAAAACATTATCTTGAAACACCCTGCAAAAGTCAGAATGTTTATTTGGAATTCCCAGTCCTTAGACTTCTTGGTGATGTCCAGTTCATCCAACAGACTAGGGGCAAAGCCAATGTATTCTGCAGCGGGAAGTACCAGGGAAACTGAGCTTCTCCCCCAGCCGAGGCCATCCTGGGCCTCCCAGTTGCTGGAACTCCTGTTCTGAATGACAGAAAGACTGCACAGGGAATGTCTCATTGGGATTCAGGAGGTAAAAGTGATGGCGCAAGAGTCAGTAACCATATAATGAGCAACCTATCCGCCAAATTAAAGTGTGTGTGTGTGTGTGTATGTGTGTGTGTGTGTGTGTGCACGTGTGTGAGGGAGAGAGATGTACTCTAAGAGAAAAGAGTAATAGTACTTCCTAAAGTATAAGCAACTGAGAAATACTGTCTCATAGTAAAGCCGAGTCTACACATGTTATTTCTTTTTGTAGGATTTGTTACTACTTCCTAGAGTTTCTTCCTTTCTTTCTTCACTCCTTCCTTTCTTCCTTCCTTTTACCAAGAACAGAGTCTTAAGTTAAGCAGAAAAAGCTGTTGCACAGGAACATGGAACCTTGAGCTCCCTGAGCCGATAAAGGAGATCGCCCTTCAGGGATCCGTGGGAAGTTCTGTGGTGTAGCTTTCCCTACACTCCTAAAAATGCAGTGGCTGGCTCCGTCTTATTTGCAGGTCTTTCCAGCACAGAGGACTATGAGTGCCTCTCTGGTCCCTGTATAAAAAATTAGAATTTTTGTACATAATTTAACTCTTCAGGGTCCCCATGTTAGATTTTGAAGGGGTCAAACATTAGGTTAGTTGAGGTGGCAACCAGGGACAATCCAGCAGGGTCTAATGCATGCCCGTGGGGTGGCCACATGCAATCAGTTCACAAGCCAAAATATTCTGAGTTTGTTCAGAGCTGGAGACAACAGGGCAGACTGGACAGGCTCGGCCATGAACAGAATCTTTGTGTCACTCTCTACCTTCCCTTCCTCTGAAAGGCTTGGAGACCTCGGGGACAAAAAGAACACTGGTAGTCATCGTGGACACTTGCAACTCGGTTTCTCTCTCCTGTGTACTTTATTGTCTGGTCGCATCAAAAGAATGTAGGATCAAGGACAGACCTGAATGTTAGAAGGTACTTTCCAGATGGGAGCTGGGAGCAGAGCCCCAGGTCCATGCAACTGTGTGTCCTGTCCCCTGACGCTCTCTCTCTCAGGTGCACCCTTACCCTTGTAGCATGCCCGAACTCAAATTTCGCCATGGCTGCCCCTAAGTCATGTCGGTGCACTACTTCTGAGCATGTCATGCTGCCCATGGCAAGTAGTCAGAATGTCCTGAATGATGGTGTCCCACCTCATGGTGTTTTTTATCTCTCTTAGGTGACTGTATCTTGTTTCCCCATCGGGACCATAAACAGAGACAACCTATGACATTTCTCTCTGCTTTCTGGTTCCTTACAGAGCACCTTACACAGAGTGTCCTATCGAAACGCTGAATCCTTGACACTCGCCTATGCTCCCAAACAGACAGGCATGTTCTACTTACGTTTACTTCTTCACTCACATTATTCAGTACAGTGTGGTCTTGTAAACTTTCACCAGCAAATATGACTGCTAGTGTCCCGTGAGAGCCCCTTCCTTAGCAGAGCTGGTCTTCCTTAGTCCTGTGGGAGAGCTGCAGTGGACAGAACAGATGATCAACTTTATATGATATTTTGATAGATCATAACCTGTTACTGAGAATTACAACAAAGAACTAGAAACATTGTCCAGTAGAGAAATATACATGCATTTCCTCTCTTCCATATACTTACCCAGTTTCAAGACCCCTTTCCATTTATTTAATTCTTGTTTCTGAGGATCCATGAAAGACATACTTCCCTTGAGGTACTCTGTTCGGAATGAATTATTCAGAGGAAACCCAGCAATGTGTGGGCGTCCATGTAGGTAACATGGCCATCCATCACCTTGAGGAAACACAATATAAATAGATAAAGCAGTTAGCAGTTAATTACACTCATTAAAGAAAGATTTTCCACTTTCCAGGGGAGAATTACTGCAAGCTCCCATGTGGCATTGAACATGAATTTCAGCTTTTACATTTTTTATCTGCATAAAACCTTTTGTAACACAGGCACACCTCTAACAGGGGTCCCTCCTATACCAGCGTTTGGAGGTGGGCCACACTGGCTCCGTGGCTGGCAGCAGAGGTGTGCATTCCAAGGCCTGCAGAAGGCCCACCCTGAACTGTGAAACCTATGTAAACAGCAGTTTGAAATACCAAACCTACAGATGAACGTTGTCTGCTAATTATACTGAGGAGGAGCCTGAGGGAGAATCTTCCAGCCCTGGCCATAATCCAGTAGATTGTGTCTGCACTGGAGAGGGTGACATCTGACCCCTCTACAGCTGGGACCTGCCAGGTCGTGGGCCAGAGGCTCGGTGTGCAGCTGGGCCTGCTCCTTTGTCCTCAAAGATTTAATCAGGCTTCACTCGTTTTCCCATTAGAACTCCCCTTTCTCACTTTGGCCTCAATTTCCCTGACTCATAAATACCCAGGATAGAAAGTAACTTAAAGGTCTTCTACTCCACTGATTTTTCAATTTTTTTAAATCAAAGAATCCTTTCCTCAAATGAAGGCTCACCCAGAAATCCAAGACATAAAACAGAGCCTCATGGATGTGCTCTGGTCATGGTGGGGAGCCAGGCCAGCTGCCCACCTGCTGCACTGACCTGCCCCTCCAAGGAAAAACTTCAAGACAGACATGCAAGAGCCTCCATTAAAAAATAAAACTGGGGTTGGACTGTGTTTCACAGTGGAGGCATTACTGGCATTTGGGAGAGGGACAGTGCTTATTGTGTTTCATTCTGTTGCATGGTAGTCACTTAGCTTCCCCAAATAAGGGCCAGTTGTGTCTTCCCAGACTTGTGCTGACTAAAATCAGCTGCTGAGAGAGTGGTCTGGTTCCACCATGGCTGAGAATGACGTGGCCCTGCAGTGATTGGCCCAGGGCCTCGTCAGAGGGCAGGGCCAGGGTCAACTCAGGTCTCTGTACTCCAGCACGTGGGCTTGTCTGCCAGCTACAGTTTGTTTCCCTCTCTCACCCCTTTTGAGCTGCACCCCACCAGTCAGTCCCCTGTTACTGAAATTCAGCTTCTTTACTAGTCTGTGAGGCTGCCATATTGTAGCACTGCCATTGTTGCTCCGAATAGGGAAGCCAAACAGGCTCTTCCATCCAAAGCTGGAGGTTAGGGTAGACAGAAAAGATACACCAACACTCTCTTAGTTTAGAGCGACCACAGTTTAACATGCCCACATGCCCAACACAGCTTGTCAATGAGATGTGATTTTCAGTTCACTCGCCCAGATGAGCTGACTTTTTTTTCCTCTCCAAAGAATACTATTTGATTCTGGATCATCTACATTTTATATAAACTTGATTGTAGTACATCATTTCTTGGCTGTTGCCTTCAGCAAACACCAATGGCTTTAGAGCCACAGAGTCCAGGGTTTGATTCCTGCCTCCTCCATTCATCAGCCATGTGACTGTCTAAAGGACACGGGCCTGTTCTAAGCCTTAGTTTCCTTATTTATAAACTGAGAGAAAACTTCCCTGGCAAGATCCTCGGGTGGATTTAAGGCAAGAGCGCACCTGGAGTATCTAGCACTACCAGTTGCTCATTAAATAGCTGCTGCCAATTTTAAGTCGTCAGCACCATTTCTGCACCTTGGTAAAATTTGTTGGAATACAATAAATTGCCCTAAGGTAAAAGTTGATAATATTATCACTGGGAGGGGGCTGAGGACCCTAATTCTAGTCTCCCCACTCAGAGGTTCACACTGGCCCAGTAACGTCCGCACACTTGGAAGAGAGTGCTGGACTCCCCTCCTCTTCCTGCGGGCGACCCTGTTGTCATCCGGGAGGTGGTATTTTGCTCTGATAGAGGGGTTGGCAAATTTCCAGACCTTCTAAAATGGGTTTTTATTAATAGTCTATCCAGTCTCCCGAGGAAACTATCATGTCCTGAGATAGCCAGGATCCTTTTCTACTGACAGTTTGAGCTATGTGCCTGAAATCATTTTTGACAGGAAAAAAACCAGCTCAAGCACAATGAAATCATGGACCGTCCACAGTGACCAATTTTCAAACTTCAAAATCACTACTAGAGCTTAATTATGCCACACACAAAAATTTCCATGGAAGTTTGATGTAAATTTTTGTCTTTTGCACTCAGTACTCAAAAGCAGTCAAACGATTTCAAAAATCACAGCTATTAAGTCGAACTACACCAAACATATTGTTCTGAGATATTTGCCCAAAGTTCCAGCACACAATTTGCTTTGCTGAATCACTTCATGTATTTCAAAGTTGTATTTGTGCTGAGCATTTGTTCGATGCCCATATCAAACCTATCCATATGGTTAGTGTTTTAGATAAAATATACAGATGTTAAGTGTATATATGAAAAAGCACAGTTTGTTGAAAATCATTAAGACCCAATAAATCACAGCAAAGTCACTATTACCTTCCATGTTGGAATTCTTTCCATAGATTAGATTCGGCAGCTCTTCTTAATAGAAGGCTTCCACGTGTATCTGAGGAAATGTCACCCAAGGAAAGACTGGCACAGAGTCTCCTGCCATTCAATACATTCTCCTGCCTCTTTCATTCTCAATAAAACAATAATTATTCAATTAATCTTGTCAACAAGTGGAGGCTGGTTTCATTTCAGTTGTTTACTAATTACGTTGGGTAGATCTTTAGATCCTTGAAAATGTTGTCCAATTGCAACAAACTACTAATGAAGCAAGACTTGGTTAATTAAGGAATAAGAGCAATTAGCCTGTCAGCAGTTAATTCCGCCAGTCCCTGGAGAAACACTACATTTAGGGATACATATCACAGGCGCTATTGACCTCTAAACCTTCCTCCTTTTCTGTCACTGCTGTTTAATGGCAAGTCACTTATTTTGTCAGGCTAATAAGGGAGGTAATGGAGTAGCCTATGGCTCCAGCCTGCTACTCTGTTTTTCTCTTGCTAATTTTAGAAAGTTTAAATATAGATGAATGGGTCTATTTTGGGGCATCATTAAAAGAGGAAACCCAAGGTGGGACTTTACAGAACCCATTGAGCACCACTGACCACCCCCAAAGCGATCTGGAGCTCATTAGTCTCTGCAGAGCTTTCTCTGCCAAAGAAAAGTTGGTTGTGAACTTTTTAAGTTGAAATACTTTTATAAACCAAACCAGTTTTGTTGGGGAATTTGGTTTAATGGAATAAGGGAGGGTGATTCTGAAAGATATTCTCTTGTGTCCACGTGTGCTGGAAGAAACTGGAATCGGAAAATTCATTTGTAGCCTTTTTATGTAATGGGGGGAGGGTGAGTGAGGCTGGGATGGAGGTTAATTATAACAGATCTTAGAAAATATTTTAGGACAATTTAACAGGCTTGACTTTACCACAAAGCGATAATTTAGGACAGGATAATATGATGGTTCTAACACTGGGCCTCCCATTCTCAGTGAAATTCTGTGTAGAACCTTCCCTCCACATCTAGCCTGTGGCAGAATCTGAGACCGACTGAGAATAAAATATTTCACTGAGCTGATTCGCTATTTTCCACACAGGAAAGTGCGGGCCCCGCCTCTCGGAAGGCCAGTCATAGGCCATGGTCTGTCTTCCCCATGGCAGGTTTCAGAGCTTAACTTACCTTTACTTGCGACCTTGGGAGCATAGTGAAGAATTCTCCTAAGCTTCTGCTGTATTATACCACCTCCAAGAATATAAAAGGAACATGAAAGTAGAAATGAAAATGGAGGCCATTGATCCCATTGCATCAGGTACTTTTACTAAAGTTGTCACCAATATTAGAGGTAATCGTGTTGACCTTGTTGGAATTCAAGGGGTCCAATAAATAACATCCCCCCTTTCTCTTCCTGAGTTCTGGACTAAATAAGAAATTAGACAAAAGATAAGGCAAATTGGAGTCCATATCACCTTTATTTTAAACTGATAGAGCTCATCTCAGATTTTACTATATTTTCAAAGGAAATTGTATGAATATTTTAAAGAAATCAACAAAATATAAACACTTTTTTAAGCATCATATTAGAGGATGTTGCTGTTTTCAAATTATGCCTTCACGACAAGCAGGATTCCTAATAGGACTAGACCTCGGAGTTAGAAAGATTTGCCCCGCCAGTGTCTGGACCTCCAGAACAACACTATTATTTGGGAAAACTGTGTGAACCAAGGAGCTGAGCTCCTGCGGTGGCTGCTGGCTGTGTGCTGGAGAGGAAGGAGTTGGCCTTACAAGTCCGGCTTCCTTTCCCAAACTCTGCGATCAGATTAAGCCACTCCCCCTGGAGAGAGCAGTAAGGATGGGGCAAGAATGCCAGTGTCTTTCCCGTGTAGAAAACCCCTCCACTGGGGCAGGGATGATTTACTCCTTCTAATAGATGTTACAGACAGGTTTTCCATAGGAGTGCATTGTGCGGATTCATTAAGGAATGTAGAGTGCAGTAAAATTGAATTAAACCTCATTAACTTAGAAATCAAGGAAATCAACAACTTTTGCATTGTCAATAAATGAAAAATCTATAAAACACGTTAAGAGTGTCCATTTTCGAGGGACTACTTTGATTCCTTAAGAGAATATAATATTTTTAAGGCATTTCAAAGTACTCATTTTTTTAGAAGGACCATGATAATTATACAACATTATCTGTTGAGGTAGCTCATATGAGCATGTATATTTTGTTTTTAGCAGAACAGTGGAAATGCTGAAGAAAGCTAACTCAGTTATTTTTATTTTACTTCTTGATATGCATGTGTGCTACCAACATTCTCTCCCTTCAACCTATTGATGAGTAAAGATAGACTGAAAGGGAAATGAGCTGTGAATTTCCCTATCCTTCCCTTCCACGCTATGCCATCATTTTCAGCATAACTGGTTGATTATACAG